TGGATACTTCTAAAATTACTTTACACTAATCATCTATAAAAAACCAAAATGGTATAAGGCAATTCTAACAGAGAAGTTCAGTAAGCAGGCTTGTATGGTTCCAACAGACTGGAATCCTCATTCTGTAATTTATATTTCTCTGAACAGGCTATCTATCCCCTCAGCTATAGTATGTTATATGTAAAACTTAACTCTTCATATCCTCCAGTAACATAAAATACCCCCTCAAACAAAACAAAAAAGAATTTTGACTTTTTTACTTCTGTATGGAATCACAGCATCTGTCATCATTCTTTAACCACTTGCTTGAGAAACTTGAGTTCAGGTTTTCATTAGCTCCATCCTTGGTTATTTTAATTTGCCTCCCCATCTCTAATCTGTCCCAACTTGAACATCAGCCTGCCGGCCAGTTTAAATACCACTTCAATCACATTACAACCCAGTTCATGAACTTAGATGGAATTTTATCCTACATGCAGTAGAAGCAAACTCTACAAATGGCATTCAAAACCTTTTTTTAAGCTTAGCCTCTGCTTCTGTTCAACCTGAAATCTGCAATCAGGCTGATTTATCACCAATTCTGTTAACAAGGACTTGCTTAAGTTGTCCTCCCATGCTCACCTCCTTTAGGATGCAAATCCATGCTCCACCACACTCAACTGAAATGTTAATATGGTTTTCAATAACCATTACAGCTGTAAATAAACTCTTCCTTAAAAATTTCAATAACATTCACATATTGTCTGATCCACTGATTAAGTATTAAGTCACACTGTCTCCTTCTGTCAAACAATTATATGGGTATACCTAAAACCTAATTAAGTAGAGGTAATTCCCTTGTGCCCTTGACGGATGGCTGCAAATTTGGTAAATGTTCAATTAATATCTGGTGACCAAAGAATGATCTGCATGTTTAGTATTTATACAAACACATATAAATATGTGTGTATGTGTGCATAGGTCTTCAAATTGTTCATAAAAATGCACATTATCTTTTCATTATGTTTTCCATGGACTTCTTTAAGCTCCCTCATATACATTCACATATATATATTTAAAATATATTTGGTTTTACACATGGGTATGCATATAATAATTATATTATATAATTTTCTTTCAAAATATTTATTTATTTGAAAGGCAGAATTACAGAGAGGGAGGTCTTCCATCCTCTGTATCACTCCCCATATGGCCGCAATAGCTAAGGCTGGGCCAGGCTAATGCAAGGAGCCAGGAGCTTCATTTGGGTCTCCCACGTGGATGCAGGGGCCCAAGAACTTGGGCCATTTTCCACTGCTTTCACAGGTACATTAGCAAGCAGCTGCACTGGAAGTGAAGTAGCCAGACTCAAACCGGTGCCCATATGGGATGCCAGTGTTGTAGGTGGTGGTTTTACCCACTGTGCCACACCAGCCACTATTTTCTAGGTACCTCAAAGACTTCTAACAAAATGAATGTTGTTTTACATAGATTCATGCATGAGGGTTCCTAAGACCATACCTCCAGGTTTGATAATTCATTAGGAAGATGCAGAGGACTCAACACATGCATGGCTTACTCATGGCTAAGATTTATTACAGCTAAAGGTTACAAAACAGATTCAACACACACTTAATTTCCCTAATACAAAATTATGAAAATATGTACAGGGGCTGGTGTTATGGCATAATAGGTTAAGCCGCTGCCTGTACTGCTGGCAATCCATAGGGGTGCAAGTTTGAGTCCTGGCTGCTCTACTTCCCATTCAGCTTCCTGTTAATGCTCCTGGAAAAGTGGTGGAGGATAGAATACTAGGGCCCTTGCACCTATCTGGGAGAACGGGATGAAGCTCCAGGTCCTGGCTTCGGCCTGGCACAGTGCTGGCTATTGCAGCCATTTGGGGAGTGAACCAACTGGATGGAAGATCTCTTTCTCTATCGCCCGCCCCCTTCTCTCTCTCTCTCTGTAGCTTCTCTTTTCAAATAAACACAGAAAGAAAAGAAAATATGTGCTGTCTACCAAGGAAACTCATTAGAGACTTGGTGCCCAAGATTTTTATTAGAGTTGGACACTGATGCTTCCTTTGTCTAGCATGGATGAAAATTCTAGCCTCTTAGGTGTTTAGCATAAAAAACACTGTACAGACTAGGTAAGCCACTCTTATTTAGGTAGTCTGGGATCATGTATGGAACTATTTACTATTCAAGTTCCCAGATACCAGCCAAGAGTAACTTTGTAAGTAGGTTTTTCTAAGGACAGCAGCCTTGGGCTTGCTATATGAACTCTTTCCTATGTAATTCATTCCTGATTTTTTATGGGAGAAATGGTAGTGTTCACTCTATGTAAACTCGAAGGGTCACATAAAGTTATTTTTTAAAAATTAAAATCTAGTACTTAATTAGAGAAGCTCTGCCTAGACAGGGAACTACTAATTAAAAGTTACGCAATTCTGCAATAATTTACTTGCTTTAGATATTTCAGGTTTTCTCTTTTTTTTCCTTGTAAAATGAGATACCTTTCACCAACCAGTTCTTCTGTAGTCATCAGGGTAAAGGAATCCGCATAACATCTAAAGGAAACAGATCTTCTTGGATGAGTTACTGGTCTTCTCTTTGAAGAAGAGAAGTGCTGGGTGCCAAAGCACTGATGGGTGTTCCAGGTACAGCATCTTACCAAACCCTCACAATGACTCCACATGTAACTGACTGTTTCATGTTACAGACGGAAGTTCTAAGAGGCTTCCTTATGCCAGGCTTCCCCACTACAGTGTACTCAGGATTAAGGCTTAGACTCACCTTCTTCCAAACCCTTGCTCTTAGCTTTATACCAAAAATCTCTACCAAACTTGAAAGGCACAGGCCCCTTGCTAAGAATCATTTCCCTCTATCAGTATATCTTTATTATTATTATTATTATTTGGTTATGAGACACTATTCTTAACAGGATGCAGTGCCAGTACCCCATATGGATGCAGGTTCAAGTCTCGGCTGTTCCACTTCTGATCCAGCTCTCTGCTACGGTCTGGGAAAGCAGTACAAGATGGCCCAAGTCCTTGGGCCCCTGCACCCACATGGGAGATCCAGAAGAAGCTCCTGGCTCCTGGCTTCGGATCGTCGCAGCTCTGGCCATTAAGACTATCTGGGAAGTGAACCAGAGGATGGAAAACCTCTCTCTGTCTCTACTTCTCTGTAACTCTGCCTTTCAAATAAATAAATAATTTTTTAAAATATTATTTATCTGGATTAAAATCAGATTTTAGTCGGAAGAGAATGGGATCAGGATACTTGACTTTTTCATTTCCAAGTCTTTCAAAACATATATCACACCTCTGGCTCATTAAAACCATTAGGAAGCTTCTTGTTCAGAAACTTCTTCACAACACACATTTGTTTCCCTTTATCTGGCATCACCCTTTTTGGGGTCAGACAGACCTGTACCAAAATTTTGGCACTGTACTTAGCAGCTGTGAGAGCCTTGGGGAAATCAGTCATGCTTTCTATACCTCGGTTTATCCACAAAATGGGGATCCCCATCTCACAGACCTGCTACAAGAATTAAATCAAACAGTACATTTGAAAGGCCCATGTGTGTCTGCTGAATAAATGCCTGCAACCGTGAAATAATGGACTTGTGAGAAATAAGCCAAATCAGTATTTGGAGGGAGGAAGAAGGAGGTAGTGGAGGAGTGTCCCAACCACCAGGTGTCACCACTGGTCCAGGAGCACTGGTCTAACTGTCCCAGCTGGGGTGTGGGACACTGCAGGGAAACTGCCTAGGCCTCAGGGGAAGGCTGTCACCTGCACCCACAAGACACTGCCCAGCTACCTTAGGCTCTTCAATGTCGTTAAGAGCTGGAGCCATTCTAGTTTACACTGTCAGGTACATTAAAAATAACTATAATATAATTAATTAGTTGGATTGCCACAAATTTATCATCACAGCTTAAGGACAAAAGCTATCCGTGGAGGACTTTCTTAATTTTGAGAATCAATAGCGTTTCATATCTCCTTTGGCTTAGCCAATGAGATATTTTCGGCATCTACAGGCTTCCATAATGCCACTGCCAACAATCTTCTGGCCCCAATTCCACAACTTATTGACATTATTTCCTGTACATTATTAATACGATGACAAATAAAAGTAGAGGCTTTTTAGGGTAACAACGAAGACTATGCCCAGTATATTCGAAGACAAAATAAACATTAACTATTAATCCTCCTTGATCTCAGGAACTCTAAAGGTCACGTTAAAAAAAATGCTTTTGAAAATCTTCTTGGAAAGAAAAACACCTTTGGGGGTAATCTGTCAACCTGTGGCTAGCCCTGAAGTTACTCAAGGGACAGTGCCACACTGGCTCATTCTGTAACCTGCTCACAACCCCCTCCCCTCTCCCCGGGAGTGAGCTCCTTCCTCAATGAGGGCAGGGCCCTCTGAGGCTAAGCCCTCCACACCGAGCCCCACTAGTGGCCACTGCCAGATGGGTAACTCACGGAGGATGCGCCGCTGCACGATGAGAGAGACTTGCGTCGCCCGCCAGGAACAGTTGACTCAAGTCAAGCCTGACCAGGCCAAGCCTGGCCTCGAAGTGTGCGCCCAAGTCCCCGCCTAACCCACAAGGGACAGGCAGTTAGGCTAAGCACAGGCTCGGGCAGTCTGCGATATTTTTTGTTTGTAACAACAGCTCAACCCCCTCGTTGCACTGCACCAAGAGAACACAGAAGCATCCTCTCCCCGTGGCCATCGCTCCCATTCCTCGTGAACTTGGGAGGGCACAGCGGCCACCAGATGCCATCCCGAGGGAGGAGCGCAGGAGCCAAGGCCATGGGGATGAACCCATCTGCGAAAGCACTTCGTGCCGATCAATAACTCCTGATTCCAGACGGGTCCCCGCCGAGGGCGGCGGGCTCCCGAGGCTGGCCGCCCTGCTGGAGCAGAGGCGCCGAGGTTCGAGATGCTGCCCTTCCGCCAAGCCCCTGAGGGCGGGCGGCTCGCGAGAGCTGGGGGCGCGGGGGGCGCCTTACCTGGAGGACTCGGCCGTGAAGCTGCCGCCGTCCAGCAGCCGCATCTTGCAGAAGAGGACCCCATTGACGAAGGGCACCGAGGAGAGCTCCTCGAGCTCGAAGTCCACCTTAAACTTAAACTTCTTCTTCTTCATCATCATGAGAGCCAGGCGCCGGCGAGCGGGGTGCGGGGGTGGCCCCAAGGGGCGCGCAGGCAGGCGCCGCCGCCTTAGCTCGGCCGAGCCCCGGATCCGCCCAGCCCCATGGCCGGGGCCGCGAGCTGCGCGCGGGGGCGCGGCCGGGGGGCGCCGCAGGCCGGCCGGGGCCGAGGCGGCGGCCGCCGCCGCCGCCTCTCGCGGCAGTCCGGGCCGGAGTGAGGCGGCGGCTGCGGCGCGGACCCCGGCCGCCCGCGGGGTCTGTTCGTGCTGCAGCTCGCCCGGGGAGGGGTGCGCCTTTTCGGTGCTCAGCTCCCCGCCGTCGCCGTTCGTCTGAGAGCCTGGAGAGGAAAAGCTCGGAGAACGGCCACCACCGCTGCCGCCGCCTCAGCGCCTCGGGGCCTCGGGCGCCCCCAGCGGCCGCGGCCTGCAGTGCAGCCTGGGGCGGAAGCGGGAGGGAGGGCGGGGAAATTCGCGGCGGGCGGACGCTTCGCGGGGGAAGCTAACCCGCGACGGCAGTTAACACGTCACGCCTCTCGGGGGTTAAAAAAAGACAAACTCAACCAAAAAAAGCTTCCTTCTACTGCTTCCTGTCCGCCTTTCCTTTCAGCTTCTGCACCGCCTCTTTCCTCTCCCTCCCTCTCCAGTGATTCTTTTCCCTTGGGTTTGAGAGACCTGGGTTAGGAGGCGCAACCAGGCTCCACAACATTGTTTTAGTACAATGGAAATCCTAAAACGAAAATTTCCCTCAGGTACTCTAAATTCACCAGCCTTCGATGCAGATGAGGCCGGGAAAAGGAATGGGATTAAAATGTGTTGAGGTCTTGCCACGTCCCAGGAACTGTGCTGCTACAGGCGTCTGTTCTTATTGTATCCTGTCTCCTGAGACAAAAGTACAAAAGGAATTCAAATAATATCCTCTTTTTAAGAATTTATGTGGCTATGCTGAGAACTGGAGTGTCTGAAATCAAATTCTGCAGGGCAGGCTTAAAAACAACAACAACAAAATCCACCTCTCCCTCGAAGAGCAATTATCTGTCTTCTGTGAGCCTGTACAGTATCTATTATTGCAATCATGTGGTTTAGTTGGTTACATAATGTGTTGGTTTTTAAACTGAATTTTTGTCCTTTTAACGCAAAGGTTGGCTGGTGGTAATCTCTGAAAGTGTGACTGAAAAGATTATCCTCTCATTTATTCATTCATATAAAATATTTTAATTGTCTAAAATGTCAGTCACTGGCTACACCCAATGATCAAAAAAACAACGACTTCCCTGAAGGATTTTACAGTATCAGTATTCCAAGTTTTTGCCCCCTACAAAGGTAAGAATTCAAAGCAGAGGCATACATACAATGCGCAAGTGAGAGCAGGATTTATCTGAAAGAGAGAGAGGGAGTGAATATACATTCACGCCTGAGCGCGGGCCACCCCTGGTGGAGAGATGCCTGTCATGAGTGGGCCCGAGGGTTGCCTATGAGGAGACAGGGGGAGGAGGCCAGAGAAAGACCCATTCACACGGCTCAGAAGCAAAAGAAAGACTACTCCCATATTCAGTCTCTTTTAGGAGATAGGGGGTGGGGCCCTATTTGAATATACAAATTGTGTGGAGTGAAGTGTGTGTAGGGCTTTTTTGGGAGTTTCCTGGGCTTCCAAGTGGAGCTTAACTTCCACGTGGCATCTGGTCCCAGGTGAGATACAGCTGCATCATTGGAAATTGGGCTTTCTGGATTGACAGGTCAAGGGTGGAGTTACAATGTAGAGTACACAGAAATTATGAAAAAAATGTACCAGCTTGATTTATTCCCACCTAACTCCCTGCTTAGTTCCCCCATATTGTGAAGATCCAGAGTCAAGGTTTAGAAGTTTGGAGGGGGTTGGCGCTGTGGCGTAGAAGGTAAAGCCGCTGCCTGTAGTGCTGGCATCCCATATGGGTGCCAATTTGAGTCTCGGGTGCTCCATTTCCCATTCAGCTCTCTGCTATGACCTGGAAAGCAGTGGAAGAGGGTGACCTTACACCTACATGGGAGGCCCTGAAGAAGCTCCTTGCTCCTGGCATTGCAGCCATTTGGGGAGTGAACCAATAGATGGAAGACACCTCTCTCTCTCTCTCTCTCGGCCACTGCCTCTCTGTAACTCTTTCAAATAAATAAATAAATCTTTAAAAAAAAAAAACAAAAAGTTTGGAGGTAAAGAGACAGTAGGAAGAGGCGGGGACTTTGGTTTATAGCTTGGATACCTGCATGGACGTTAGTTAATTCTGTTCACTGAGCTGGAAGAGGAGGGCAGATTGGGAAAGGAAGAGAGAAATGGGTCTTTATCTGAACTGCTTCCCAGGAGAGAGGGGCAGCCGTATCTCAGGTGAAAGGTTAAGACTGAACATATGCATTGGATATCAGGGAGAAGCTCAAAAGATGGGTGAGAATGAGTTCCTCTGAAGAATATATGTAACAGGTAGACTGAGGAAGAAGAGATTGAGAAGACCTCTGAAAAGGAGTCAGAGAAACAGATGGCCTGGAAGTCAAGAGAGAATTTTAGTCGTCTAACGTTCAGCTATTCTGACCTACTGAGTGCTAGGCACTATGTTGGGGACTAGAGACATACATAGACACACAGGGCTTGTAATCAAAGGGAGTTCTGCAATCTTCAAGTAAAGCACTAGGAACTCTCGCGAGATCCTACGCCTGCCTCGTGCGCCCGGGAAACCCCGTCGCTCCCTTTCCCCTGGCTGGCAACGCGGAGCCGCACGAGGCCTGGAGTTACCATAAAGGACATCAACCAGCAGGAGTTCGTCAGAGCTGTGGCAGCCTTCCTCAAAGAGTCCGGGAAGCTGAAAGTCCCCGAGTGGGTGGACACCGTCAAGCTAGCCAAGCACAAGGAGCTTGCCCTCTACGAGGAGAACTGGTTCTACCCGCGAGCGGCTTCCAGAGTGTGGCACCTGCATCTGTGGGGCGGTGCTGGCGTTGGCTCCATGACCAAGATCTACGGGGGTGGCAGAGGAATGGCATCATACCCAGCCACTTCAGCCGTGGCTCCACGAGTGTGGCCCGCCGCGTCCTGCAGGCCCTGGAGGGGCTGAAGATGGTGGAAAAGGACCAGGATGGGGGGCTGCACACTGGCACCTCAGGGACAAAGAGATCTGGACACAATCGCCGGACAGGTGGCAGCTGCCAACAAGAAACATTAGAACAAATGATGCTGGGTTAATAAATTGCCTCATTCGTTAAAAAGAGAGAGACACACACAGAGAGACACCCCCAAAGAGGGCAGATGAGTGAGTTTCAAGAAAGTGCCGCAGAACAGTCCTAAAGGATTTGGGCTGAACAACTACTGAACTGAAGATCTAGGAGGTCACTGTTACTCTTGCTTGGCAAGAGACACCTCTGTAAAATAAGGTGGCAAAGTAAGATGAAAATGATACAGGAAATGAATGTGACTGAGGGGTGAGTGACTTCTTTTCTTCTGATTGTTGTCAGAGGCTAGAAAGGACAGTGACTGGAGGAGGAGGGGTCAAGCGTTTTCAGTAACATTCAGGAACAGCTCAAGAGTTAGTCCTTGTCCTAGATCTTGCAGTCTGTTGGAAAAACACAGAGAAGCAGGCAGTTCCAGTACAGTGTAACATGGAGTGTGATTTGTCTATGGTGGTGAGTAGAGGCTGCTGTGGGAGAACATTATAACGTCCTACCAGGATAAGCAGGATTATGGAAGGCTTTCTAGGGTAAGTGATACTTGAGCTGAGGTCTGATGGATGAGAGTGGGGGTGGGGAGCAGTTTCCAGGAAGAACACAGAGCATGTGCAGAGGCTCAGAGGAAGAGCGCCTGTGTTGCAGAGGGAACTGAAATTAGTTCTGGCTGGCTGCAGTTCAGAGTGGGGTGTGGTGACAAGGATAGACTAGAGAGCCATTGAAGTTTTAATGCAGACTGATATATTCAGCTTTGCATCTTATAAAGCTCTCCAGCTGTAGTTAACTGGAAGCGGGGAGACAGTCTGTTACTCTTTTAGAGCCAGGGTTTGATTATTAAACACCTGGTATGAGTCAGGGTCAAGGCAGGAAACAAGTGTCAAAATTAAGTGTTTGAATGAACAAAGTTTAATGACTCGCTGCAGCATTGAGAACAGGGCAAGGGGCCTACGATCCAGCCGGGGGCTGAAAGGAGAGGAGGATACATATCCGGATCTTTCTCATGTCTTACTTTCTGATCTCCTGCTGGTGCCTCCTGAGATCTGGAGCCAGAGGACAAACCCTGGAAGATGGGGTTCCTGAAGAACAGCCTCCTGGGCCACCAGGTGGGGCCCAAAGAGAGCGGGCGGAATGGACAGAGATTAGGGGACAGAAATCTGCCGGCCCACATCTGCCTTGGTTCACTAGGAATCGGAAGCCACTTTGAGTATTTCAAAAAACAAAGAGATTTCATCCAAGTATTTCATTGCTTCTGAAATCCTTGGATGAGCCAGAGCAGAAGTCAGCAGACTCTTGAATTCAAAGTCACATCACTTGAGGTAAATATCACCTGTGTTAACTAGTAGCTGGACTTCCTTTACTTCCTGCGCATATGCGAGTTTTCATTTCCCAATCTGCTTGCTGTTCGGTGGGACCATGTGATTAGGTCTAGCCAATAAAATGTGAGAAGAAATAATGGGCTGTTTAAGGTTGAGGCAGGGAGAAGCCCTTGAGCAATTCTTCCTGCCACAATAATCATGGAAGAGACCCAGGTTAAGATGTAGTGGCTACAAGACTGAAGCTGCCCACATCTCTAAGTTAGCCCATGGAGAGCCACTGCCTACTCCTGCGGTAAGCATTTTGCCTGTGAGAAGGAAACTTAGTTGCATAAGGTACTGCTGGGGACTGCTTGTTATTGTGGCATAAAGGTAGTTTATTTTGATTAAAACACAACATACCTGGAATGGGAAGCTGACAATAGGACTGGCTACTGCTGCCCCATCACCACTGGCTCACATCCATGAAAGCTGAGAGGAACCTGAATGTCACATAATTGTTATTTTTAAAAAAATATTTTATTAATTTATTTGAAAGGTAGAGTTACAGACAGTGAGAGGGAGAGAGACAAAGGTTTTTCTTCCATTGGTTCACTCCCCAGGTGGCCGCAATGGCCAGAGCTGGGCCGATCCGAAGCCAGGAGCCAGGAGCTTCTTCCTGGTCTCCCACATGGGTGCAGGGGCCCAAGGACTTGGACCATCTCATACTGCTTTCCCAAGCTATAGCAGAGAGCTGGATCGGAAGAGGGGCAGCCGAGATTAGAACTGGTGCCTATATGGGATGCCAGCACTGCAGGCAGAGGATTAACCTACTACACCATGGTGCTGGCCCCCCAAAATATTATTACACCTTGCTTGCAAGTGGCCTCAGCCACAGGAAGGTAGCCTCCATCATATACCTGTTTCTGTCATAAGTACATCTCTTTGGCAGACCTCATTTGCCCTAAGGAGTGGAGGAGGGCTGAGAAATGTAATATTGTCTCTTTCCAACTTCTTCAACTAGAATGGTGGGATGGCAATTCAGGTAACAGGCCTCAGTATCTACCCCAATACCTGTAATCAAAGTTCCTCAAAGGAAGGGTAGACTATTAATCATATTTGTATCTTGCCTGGTATCTTACATTAATTAGTGTACAATAAATGTTTCATTTTTATTTTTAACACTTTTTTTTAAAAGGCTTATTTATTTATTTGAAAGACAGTGTTACAGAGAGGCAGAGGCAGAGAGAGAGAGGGAGAGGTCTTCCATCTGCTGGTTCACTCCTCAAATGGCCAGAATGGCCGGAGCTGGGCTGATCCAAAGACAGGAGCCAGGAGCTTCTTCTGGGTCTCCCACGTAGATCCAAAGGCCCAAGCACGTGGGCCATCTTCCACTGCTTTCTCAGGCCATTAGCAGGGAGCTTGATTAGAACTGGAACAGCTGGGACATGAACTGGTGCCCATAAGGGATGCCGGCCTCACAGGGAGCTGGTTAAACCTGCTATGCCTTGACGCTGATCCCCAATAAATGTTTCTTGAGATGGTCTGAATTTATGGTCCAGTTCTGAGTATTTTACCTCTAAGGGAAACATTAGGGCTGCTAGACATGTGCTAAGACCACTTGAGCCACAGATTATCTGTTATAGGACCTTCCAGTACATGAAAAAAGTAGTAGAGGTCACCAATAGGAAGGACTGGTGGGTGGGCAGAAGAAATAGTGGCCATACCAAATAATGAGGAAATAATTATATAAGATTAGCTTCTGAAAATTCTGAACAACGACTTAAATATGACAAGCTCATTTCTTTTTAAGTTAAAATCAGGAGGCAAAGAGTCTGGAGTTGGTATAGAAGCTCCATGATCCTCAGGGACTCAAGTTCTTTTGCTTCCTCATCCTTAATGAGTGGTTTTCACTTGGTGTGCAAGATGGCTACCTGAGCTACAGCCGCTCTTTCTCAGTCACAGCCAGCAAGGAGAAGCAAGGAAGGAAAGTGTGCTCCTTCCCTTCAGGGACACTTCCTGGATGCACACTCCAGTTTTCCTCAAATCCATGGGCCAGTTCAATGTGCATAGAAGTAATGGTGCCAAGGCCAGGCCTGGCCCATACAAACCTCCCACATGTGCTTTTCTGCCCTTTTCTGACACCTGCTGACTGGATTTTGATGTCAAGGGACATTTTGTAAGTGACATATTGAGGAGCCCTGTGAGCCTGGGTCCCCAGGTGACTGTATGGCGAAGTGTTGCCCTCTCACCCTTCTGCCCCTAACCAGGAACACCTAACATGGTGCTGTTATATGAGCAGGAAACCGTCTTTCATTGTGACTTTTGGAGGTATTTTTGCTCTAATATAAAAACTGTTAAAAGGAGCAGTGTCCTATTGTAAAAGTCTAAAACTAGTCAGGCTGGCCATGGGCAACAAGGAAACTATTAATGGAGTCTGGAAAACAGAAACCATTTTCCAGTCCGCTTTCTATGACTTCCAACACAGTGTCACACACTGGCTGAGTTATAAAGAAAAAAGGTTTACTTTGGCTCATGGTCTGGTATCTGGCTATGGCTGGCCAAGTCCCCAGGTGGTGCAGGAAAAGAGGGAATGCCCTAGAGACCTAGCCAAACAAGCTCTTAGAGCAGATTCACTCTCTAAAAAGCCCACTAGCCCATTAATCCATTAATCGAATGAATGGATTATCCACTCATGACAGCAGAACCCTAATTACTTCCTAACATCCCACTGGGTCCCACCTCTTAATGTCTCATAACAGGGATTAAATTTCAACATAAATTTCAGAGGAGAAAAACTGTATTCCAACCACAGCACAAGACGAATGCTTGAAATAATTTGGAAGGAAAACAAGGTATCTACCAAGTCCATAGCTCTCGGAGAGGGTGAAAAGCAGAATGTTAGATTAAGTTTATTGCCCTCATTTAGCAAGACATTAGAAACATGAGATAAACTCATGCAATAATTAGTAGGTTTAAAAGCATGAATGAAATAGGAATATACAGAAACTGGGAGCCTCAGGGGGTTGGAGAAACTGCTTTGTACTTCAAAGAATAGGGACTGAAAAAGCTTTTGAGCAACAAGGACCCATTAAGAGTCAGTCATCCAACAAAGACTAGATTTAGGGTGTGGCCTTCTTATTTAAATCTGATGGTCTCAGAGCAGCCACTTTAAATTGAGAGGAAGAGAGGCACGGGAGTGAAGAAGCAAAGTGCTGAGTGCTGAGAATTGTCTCTAGGAAACTTTAGTGTTACTGGCATATGCAACGATGGGAAACAATTTTTTTGAAGCAAATTGATGAGAAGTCTTTTCAGTTCTTGAGGGATTGTATTTGCTAAAGAGAAATCATGAGCCTGTATTAAAAGCTGTACTTTTCTTCCCAAGGAAGTCATGCTCCCCAACACCCAGGTCAAATGTGGGCTTGGGAGAAAAGCTTCCAAAGGGCAGAGCCAGTGAACACAGAGGATGATGGACAAGGCGGGGAGGGGGGGTCTCATACAGAGAGTGGAAATGGGATCTAACTGTCCCCACTGCCAGTTTGAGGCCATCACATTGCCTGCTTGTGGAGTGTCATCTTTCTAAGCCAACGTCTTCCCTTTCCCACCTGGAAATATGTAATGCAATCCACTTGCTCATCATTATATATTAGGTAAGAGATTGGGGAAGTGTTTTATTAATTCATGGGTCACAGTGGAGTTTCTCATGCTTGGTGCTATTGACATATTAGGATAATTCTTTGCTGTGAGGCTGTCCCGCGTATGGTACAGTGTTAGCAGCCTCCCTGGGCTTTATCCATGTTGCCAGTAGCATCCTTCTTACTTCTAGTTGTGTCAATCAAAAATGTCTCCAAATGTTGCCCAATATCACCTGGGGGGCAAGACTGAGAATTACTGCGTCACAGGATGATGTGGAGTTAGGTCCAGACATGATGGAGAATCCTGTGTGTTACCTGGAGAGCCTTTGCT